AAAAGAAATGGATAAAACCAACATAGCAATAAAAAGTACACTCAACCAAGACAAAATTATACAAGAAAACAATATTTTAGCTGCATTTCTTTGACTTCGTCAGAGTATTCCCCTTGTCCTCTTGGCCGCCATGTTTGTCCGCCATATTGACATGAGTTACCTAGTTCCCAGTTCCGACCGAGCCTTGTGAAATAAAAAGTCACGTGACCAACCCCATGTACTAGACAACCTATGCTCGAAGAACAAAACTTAAAGCTAAAAATCTGGCACTTGAACGTTTAAAACACAAATAGGAAGAAAAACCTCTTCATGGTCAGTACCCAAAACGAATTAATGACAAAGATGTGGATCAAGCAGAAATGTATGAATGGCTTAGAACATCTGGCCTTGAATCTCAAACAGAAGGGTTTATCATTGCTGCACAAGACCAGTGTATCAAGACCAACTACTATAGGAATAAGATCTTAAAAGATGGAACAGACCCAATGTGTAGGATATGTGGCAAAAACCAAGAAACTATAGACCATCTTGTTTCTGGCTGCTCAGAATTGGCCAAACAGAGTATATTCATAGGCATAACAAAACAGCAGCATACCTCCACTGGGCAATTTGTACGAACTATAATATTGAGGTCAAAGATAAGTATTATGAACATGAACCATCAACTGTAGATGTTAGAAATATGCAAATAGCTAATTAGCGTGCGTCATAACTATTCATTAGCGCAATTGGCGTGCAAGTGTAACAGCTCACAGTTGCAATAAACCTGAACCGAACCGATTCAAGTAGTCAGTCTGACTTTCCCACAAACTTGGTGCCGGAAAACCCGACTTGAGACTTGAGATGTCGAAAGAATTAACACGACTGAGAGCTGTGAGAGGCGCATACAAAGGCCACGTTACACAAGACTTGACCAAAGCCGACAGTCAAAGCCGAGCGCTGAAGACGACGAATCAGAAGAGCTAGTAGCAACCCTCGAACGCCTTACCAGGAGAGAAGACGAAATAACATCGCTAGACAGCAACATAGTGAACCTACTAGATGACGCAGACGCCATAGAGAAAGACGTCGAAGAGGCGCTAACGCTGCAAGACAAGATATCAGTGGTCAAGACAAGAATCACAAGATATATTCAAAGCAAGAACCCGGTAAGACCAAACCAAAACACACACGCCGAATCGTCCTCAAAAGCATATGTCAATCTACCAAAAATGACAATCAAACCATTTCACGGAAACCCCCTTGAATGGCAAACATTTTGGGATAGCTTCAGCGCTACCATAGATGAAAACAACAACCTTTCGAATGTCCAAAAAATGTCTTATCTAAGCGGAACTCTAAAAGACGAAGCAGCGCGCGCGATTGCCGGACTCCCAATGACGTCCAACAATTATGAAAAAGCAACACAGATTCTAAAAGAACGTTTCGGACAAAACAAGTCCTGATAAACGCGCACATGGAATCCTTGCTAAACATCTCGCCGCCGACAAACAACATTACAAAGCTAAGGGAATTCTACGATACATGCGAATCAAACATACGGGGACTAGAAGCTCTAGGCATCAATGCAGACTCATACGGCAATCTTTTGATCCCAATACTACTTAAAAAACTACCGGAAGAAATGACTAGACTCGTATTTCGGGCCAACGCATCGGCTGACAAATCACTCGCCGAACTCAGATCAGAAATCAGAAAGGAAATTGAAACACGCGAGAGGAGCACGGCGGCAACAAGCGCGTCAAGCCAAATAGAGGACGAACTCCTTGTCCCAACAGCGAGCAC